TCCTGAATGGCTATGATTACAGATATGAGACACCGAAACTTGGCTTATAATGTTCATTTTTATACGGGAATACTTTTATTTTGGAATGTATACATAGCCAAACGAATGAACAGAATACAAGCTGATACATTAAAATGCATGTCTTTGTTGGGCTTAATGCTATATGCCTGTAATCTTAGCACTCTTAAAACCAATCCTGAAGCAGGAAGCTCACAAGTTTGAGACTGTGTTTTGGGGAAACAAGCAAACAACTACAGACTTAAAACTCCTACACATTATTATTAAAATTCCTACACATTATCAAGAGGATTATTAATTGCAATTTCTGGAGAATGTGAAGAAAAGAAATTGTATGTTACAGTCTTTTAGATCTCCAATGTCAAATGTGAATATTGCAATTGAGAATGGAGTATTAGTGATTAAACTTTCTATCTTACAAAACATTAAGAGGATGAATGAAGGAAAAGTGGTAAAAAATGATTTAAAATTGCCACATGAAACCCTTGGAGAAGGAAACAAGGCAAAGCTATAATAGACAAATGTTATATAATGAATGAGAAAGAAAAAGAATATTGACTTGTATTATCAGAATTTCTGCTCCTGCAGAAAGATCATCAACAAATCTTATGTATTCTGAAATAAACTGCAATTTTGTGTGAATTATATGCAATATGAAATATCTAAAAAGTTTTTATTGAGGGGTAAAATGTTTCAGCTTCTACCTCTGAAAGAATATAATATTTAATATACAGATGCTCAAACTATATTGAAGACACTTTAATCAACAAATGCTTCTAGGAAAAAATTAGTTATACTGGGAAGAAACAAAATAAATCCATATTACAGAAAAATGACATAAAGAATAAGAAATAATGGAAATCCAGGTCTGATAATCTAACAGACCTTGAAGATAACTGCTACAATCAATGAACTTTGATACTGGCTTTGCAGTTCATAGGAAAAATATTAATTTGGATGGACTTTACAGTATTATAAAGAATTTTTATCTATATACAAATTGATGTTAAGAATTTCATGTATAATCTGGCAAATATAAATCACACAAAACTATGTCTCCCTTTTCTCTGTTTTCAAGTTGTGCTTCTTTCCAGTCTATCTTCATCTGTAAGTCTATTATTTTCTACCAAAGTTTTCTAACGAAGTTGTGCATTCTGTATTTTCTGAAGCAGTTTCTATTGATTTCTTTCATCAGCTTTTTAGTCCTGTAGATGCATTGGTTCTTTTTGTAATTTCAGTTTCTATTTGTACCATTTTAGTAAATAAAAACATAATTGAAATTTCTTTGAATTTCTCTCTCAAGATCTCAGTAAACTTTCTTTGTTTTCCAAATTTAATTTTATTGTCAAGAAGATGTACAGAGGGATTAGTTATATATGTAATGTACTGAGTACATTTCTTGATAAACAGTGTTACCCCCTCCCTCATTCTTCTCCCACTTTCCCTTCCCCAATGCCCCTTCCCCCAAGTTGTACAGTTCATTGCTTTTGCATTGGTTCACACTTTGTCCTCTGTCCCACCATTTTGTTCTTCCCCTTCCCGTCCCTAATCCAGGTAAATATATATACAATGCACAGTGTATCAAAATCAAATATAATGACCACAAAGGATAAACCATGGGGGAGGGGAAACACAAGAAAAAAGAAATAACTTCCACATAGTACATTAAAAACAACAACAAAGAAAATCCTCTTGTTTCCATATAGAGTTTGTTTCACTAAGCATCATCACTATTGTGATCCTCTTCTAGTACTATCCTAGATATATACTAATTAATACAAACGAGGGCAACCATGGAGCTTATGTTTCTTTGTGTCTGGCTTACTTCACTTAATATGATTTTTTCCAAGTCTTTCCATTTCCTTACAAATGGGGTGATGCCATTCTGATAGAAACATAGAATTCCATTGTGTATATATACCACATTCATCTAATGAAGGGAAGGGCATCTAGGTTGGTTTCATATCGTAGCCATGGTAAATAATGTTCCAATGAACATGGTTGTGCTGGTTTCTTATTTTTGTATATGTAAGTCTTTTGTGGGGGAGACTACTTTTTTCCCTGTTATTCAAAAAGAGGAATCTCTCACTTTCTTCCTTTACAAAAGTACTAGTGGTTGAAATCAGGGTCTTGTGCATGCTAGGTAGGTGTTCTACCACTTAAGCCATGCTCCCAGCCCTTTTCTTTTTTTTACAGTACTGAGGACTGAATTTAAGGCCTTATGCTTTCTCAGCCTTCACTCTTCCACTTGAGCTATGACTCTAGAACCCATCCTTCTTTTTGAGACAGTCTTAAAAGTTTTTTGGTCTGTTTTTTATTGCACTTTATTTTAGGTTATAGTTATACATTTGGGCTTAAGTAGCTGATGAATAATTTTTTTCTCTAAATTGTAAAAGCAGACATCATAATTGTTACTCATCAGCATTTAATTTCATTAGCTGGAATTGTGCTTAACTTACTATAGTAAATAGATACTAATATTATTAATATAATTCTATTGTTAGGAGGATCTACATTGTATCTGGAATAATATAAAACATCTCTGCTTTCTAGTTCAGTTTAGATTTAGACTGGTCAGTGTATTCTGACATAGAAGTTCACTGAGATTGGTGTGTAGCTATCAAATAACAAATATAGGGATGTTTTAGATGCATGCTAAAACAGTTCATGTTACATTTCATGTTCATGTGAAATGATTAGAAAAGAAAACACAGATTATAAAGTGATAGGAACATACTGATAGAAATAAGCAAGGAACAAAGCTTTTGGCTGGATAGATATATTCCCAACGTTAACAGAATAAATTATGCAGTTGAAATACCCATTTTCTCTCTCTCTCTTTTTTTAATTTTGTCAATGTGGGGCTTGAAATCTGTGCCTGGGCGCTGTCCCTGAGCTCTACAGCTTTACCCCCTTGAGCCACAGTGCCTCTTCCAGTTTTCTGCTAGTTAATTAGAGACAAGAGTCTTTCCTGACCCCAGCTGGCTTTGAACCATGAACCTCAGATCTCAGCTTCTGAGTAGCTATGACTACAGGCGTGAGCCACTGTCACCTGGACCATTTTTCTCATAAGCAGCTTACAGTCTTTTGAGCTCAAATATTTAGTTCCTTCTGTAGTCATCTGCTTTTAGGCAAGAGGATGGACACTTCAGGGAACAAAGCTACTTGTCTAGAGTAGGTATTATTAAGTGAACTAAGGTTGAGGCTGTTTCTTTCCAGCCTTAGGCATTATATTAGTGAAATGGTTACTAATGAATGGGAAGATGGATATTCTTACCTCTTCTTTATGAACACTGGACCTTATCCCTGTATACACTTTCTTCAGATCTCTTTACTTAAAACTGGATAATCCTCTCCTCTAGCAAGTCTCTTGTAATGACTGCATGGGTTAAAATGAAATAACTGTACACATGAATCTGACAAGAAAATTTTAAATGATTTTAATAAGTATAATTTTTTGTATTATTATGAAGTTGGAGTTCATAATATTATCTAATAGCAGCTGATGCAGCATTGCTGATGTTAAACCCTTTGGGGAATGGATAACAAAGTTGAGCACAAGTTTGCTGAACTCTAATATATTACTTATATTCTTTAATAAACTTGTGAAACATTTTAATACATAGAGGATTCGAAGGTTTAGAAGAAAGACAAGGAAAAATTTTGAGAGTAATGAGAACATATTTTAATAAGTATACTTAGAGGCTGGGAAGGTGGTTCAGTGGTAGAGCGCTTGTCTTGCATGCATGAGGCCCTGGGTTTGATTCCTTAGCACCACATAAGCAGAAAAAGCCAGAAGTGACGCTGTGGCTCAAGTGGTAGAGCACAAGCTTTGAGCTGAAGAACTGAGGGACAGTGGCCAGGCCCAGAGTTCAAGCTCCACTACCGACCAAAAAAAGCATACTTAAAACTGTATCTGCAAAATTTTATTTTCTTCTTAATTTGTATCTAATACTGTCTTAACTTTTTTCCTTTCTCTTTCCTTAAAATATTATCTTTGGGAGGGAAAATGATTGAAGAGGGTAGCTAGTTAAGATGCATTGTACACATAAATTAATATGTTGAAGTGGGATTCTTTTGTACACTACTTAAAGATAATTGAAAAACGAATTAAAAAACATTATCTTAACTAATACCTGGTACAATGCCTGGCATTTTCTAAAGCCTGGCATTTTTTGAAAGTTATATTACAATTATTCTGAAATGCAATGGAAAGAAATGAAGTTAAATTAAGATTGATGTACGATCTATATATTTTTTTTTGCTGGTTTTGGGGTCAAAATTAAGTGCTTCCATTCAGCTTGTTTGCTCATTTGCTTGCTGGCTGGCTTAATTCAGCTGGTGCTATACCACTTAAGCCACACCTCCAGCCAACTGTTTGCTGCTTATTTTGGAAATGGAGTCTAGCAGAGTTTTCTGCCCAGGTTAGTTTCAAACTGCCATTCTTTGGTTCTCAACTTTACCATCAATAGGGCTAAGATGCAAATTCTTTTGTATAGGAATAATTGAAGTCTCAGAAGATTCACAACACTTTATTCTCATTTTGACCTGCTTGATTTTGTGTTTATTTGGATGTTTAATCATTGGCTATTACAATTATCTAATGCTTTTAAAACCGTATGTCTAGAATATATCTTCCCTATGATTATCATTGTGATCCATGTGATTATCATTGTCTCTTAGTTTGCATGTTTGAATATTTGAATATGGTGATTTGTTAAGCATGGCAGTTAGGGGGTGATGTCTGATAGATGTAAGTTTTGATACTTTCCTAATGAGAATATTGTTCCACTTCTCCAACCCTAGTAGTATCTTGTGTTAATTGAAGAGGATACTTATTACCAATACCTCCTATCATATAAAGTTGTTGGGAAGATACAATAAGTTATTATGTATAAGTGCTTTGTATAGTCTCATGAGTATAGTAGACATTTAAGAATTGGAAGAAGTTATATTTTCCTGTTGAATTTTTCCCCCTGCAGCTTTCCCCCCAAATAAACCAGACAAAGATGCAAGATATGTAATAAAAGTGGTAAGTGTTGCTCTTAAATTTGTGTTTCATATATATTTGACTTTTTTGAGTTGTTTTTATAACAAAATAATTCTTAAGTTTTTAAAGTATTTATCAATAAACATAATGCTATATTTTCACCTTATTAAAATGTTAAGACCAGAGGACCATTGTTCTTTATTGCCATCTACCATGATGCTTTCTGGTCTAGCAATCAGCCCTCCTTCCTATATTACTTCCATTTTCTAGATGGTAAAGTCCTTAAAGGCAGTCCTAGGGTTCTGTTTCTGACTGTATCCCCCGTGCCTAGTACAAAGAATAAAATTTACTATACATTCATTTAAGAGATCATGTAGAATGAACAAGCCCCCAAGGCAGTTTCCAGTGTGTCTGCCCTACTGTACATGTTGGTATACAGTGACTGTGTATATTTATGTATATAGTTCTTAGCACTTTTGGTAAGTGCTTTCCATAAGACTACTTTCATGCGTAAGACTATCTTGGTATGGTAGTACAATATGTTGTTTAAAAATGAGATTCTTCAAGTTTATTTAGTGTTTTCTGAGATTTTTAGTGGAAATCTGTGCCTGTGTTTTATAAAGATTGATTCAAGTACTATTATGTATTGCATATGTATACCACATTTTCACAGTTGAAATACTGATTCTATTTTTAGGATTTTTTTTTTCGAGTAAAATTGATTATTCTGTTCTTTCATAGGAATATCAAGAAAATGGTCCATTATTTTCAGAACTTAAATTTTATCAGAGAGCTGCCAAAAAAGATTGTAGTAAGTAAAATTAGCAAAGTAAGCTACTTCTTTATATGTGTCTGCTAAAGTGAGTGTTAATATTTTGGTCTTTTCTGTCCTGGAAAATTCTTTTCCATAAGAAATTTTATTGTAAAGTGATAGTTAACTGCTATAACATAGAAAAGCAAGACAGATGGTATACAAATCTTGATATGGCATACATAATGGGTTATATATTTTAAGTCAAAAGTTGTTTCTACTACTTTATATAAAATGTTGTGATGTTTGATCTAAACTACTAAGAGTTCTCTAAATATAAAAGATAGCAGAAGTGAAATTATTTCTTTTATAAAGAACCATTTAGATAGCAAGGATATAATGAAATAACATCACCATTATACATACATATATTTACATACATATACACATATGTACATATATACACATATGTACATATATACACATATATGTATGTTTCTATATGTATATTTATATATGTGTGTATGCATGTATAAACATTAAGACATGCACACAGAAAAATGGTTGCAAAATAGAATGAAGTATATGGAAATGATTAAATACTATTATTTTTAAGAGTGCTAGAAATCTGAATGTTGAAAAATAACTTGGCACTGAACATTATATATAAGAACTACCAATTCTAGCCTAGTATTGTGGTACATGCCTGTAATCCCAACTACTTGGGAAACATATTGCAAGTTCAAGGCCAGCTCATACTGGGCAAAGTTACATCCTATCTCACAAACAAAATAGCAAAACAAAGGACTGCGGGTATGGTTCTAGTAAGAGAGTACTTTCTTGCATAGCATGTGGAAGATCCTGAATTCATTCCTCAATACTTCAAACAAAAACCAAAAACAAAACTTCACCAGTGAGACAAAGAAGAATAAGGCTATTTTTAAATATTAATGGAGTTGATAGATACAATGGCTAGCATATCATGATTAGGGAAAAGAATGTTAGGCTTTGCCTAAATACTTAACTGGCTTTCATAGTAAAAGCTCTTAGCCATTGAGACTGACCTAACCACTGCTTAATCTGTATCAGACTGATAAATAGAATCCACTAAGCCTGATTTTTTTCTTTATCAGTAGTTTCTTAAATATGGAACATGTATGGTAGAAGTGAAAAAGCAGTTTAATGGCCTAATTGTTCTAGTAAATTAAACACCCTAATCATGAATTTTTTGTAAAATGAGTTTAATCAAAATTGTTTCTGCATAGCTATTTCAGAATAAGTTGATTTTTCACCCTAAATTATAATTTTTGGACTACTGTTTTGAAATACAGCTAAGGGAGAAAAGTTGTCTCAGTGAGAATACTTTGCTCGTTAATATGTTATATTTAGAAATTTAGCATACAAATAATTTTTGAATGAATAAAAATATTTGTGAATATGGAACAAATGTATTTTATGACTATGACTTAGTTTTGTTAATATTGATTCAATATTAAAGTTTTTGGATCTGGAGATATGGCTCCAGTTGTAGAATGTCTAAATTCAATCCCTAGTACAAAAAAATATTGTTTAAAACAATAATTGACTTGGACTTAGCATCTCGTGCTAGGTGCTAGATCTCTTGCCAGATGCTGGTGCCTCATACTTGAAATCCTAACCTACTCAAGAAATGAGAGCTGTAAGGTCATAGTTTAAAAGCTTAGGTGGCAACATCTACTAGACTCTGTTTCCAAAATAACCAGTAAAAGCAGGGCTAGAGGGGTGACTCAAGTTGTAGAGTGCCAGCCATGTGAGCATGGGGCTGCGAGTTCAACCTTTGTACTGAAAATAAACAGATAAATAAAATGTCTATATTTTGTGTTACCGTGATAATGGGTAGAGTGCAAGTCATTAGGTAGGAATAAAATTTTGTTTTGTAGAAAATTCTAATTATTTTGGTTAGCTTAATCTTACCATCTTTGCAAAGGTTAAAAAATGCTTTTTTAAATAATATGAGTCATTTTGTTGTTAAATTTGTCTTTGCAGTCAAGAAATGGATAGAACTCAAACAGCTTGATTATTTAGGAATTCCTGTGTTTTATGGATCTGGTCTGACTGAATTCAAGGGACGAAGGTAAAAGCAAATTATAATCAAATGTTAGAAACTCTAAATCAATTATAATTAAAGAGAAACCCTATTCCATATACAACCAATTAAATATCTGTTGCCATGTAACAAATTACCAAAAACATCATGGTTTATAACAAACTTAAAATCCTGTGGGTCAGGAATCTGCACATGGTTTGTCTGGGATGTTGTAGCTCAGGAGCGCTCCTGAAAATTGTAGTCAGCTTTTTGCTGGGTAGGCTCTAGTCACCTCTCAGTGCCCTCCTGGGGGAAGATCTGCTTGCAGAGCCACAAAGGTGGCTGCTGTTGGCAAGCCTGAGACCTGCTCTTCCATTTACTTGTGATTGCTGCTGAGTCTAATTTCATGACTACTTCGGTGTCTATATGATAACACTACCATACTCTCCTTGAATGCTATAAAGAAATGGCAACTAACTTGCTTCCTTTAGAGTAAATGATTAAAAGGGAGAAAGACAGCATCATAAGGGAGGCATCCAGGCCAAAAGTTCTGGTTTCATTTAACCTTTGAACTACTATCACGTTGGCTACATTCTTTTTGCTTGAAGCACATCATAATGCTCCATGTGCTCCTCGAGAAGAGGGGTTTATCTCTTCTCTTGAGGAGAGGCAACAGCAAAGAATTTGTAGAAATATCTTTGAAACCACAAGGTAGGATTACTTATCACATCATTACTAGTGATTTAAAGAAGGAAAAAAACTTTTCTGCACTTATTTTGTGCCAAGATTTTTATGTATTTTATTGCATTTTTTTCTTTGAGTAGCCTTTTTAAGGTAGGTGAATTTATATTTTACAGATAGATATCCATAGCTTGTTCAAATCATCTTCAAATGCAATACATAAAAAAGGAAAGGAAAAACAATGACTGGAAACAAAGTGAAGGGCTTTCAATAGGGGGACTGCATACTTAGTGAACTGTGGTACATTCATGTCATATCATGTGCAGCCTGTTAAAGAACCAGCTAGAACTGTACTACGAGACACTGTTGAGCACATAGGATTGGGAAAGTGCACATGAGATCACATTTTGGTAAAGCAAAAACCCCAAATCTTGTGTATGTGTGTATAATATAGATACAGAATGGAGGATTATGTCAGTATGTAAATGAAGGGAAGTAAAGAATGAATGCAGAGTGCTTAACAGAAAAGGAAGGAAAGAAGTATACTTTGAAAAGGATGTGAATGTGGTGGTGTATGTCTGCTAACCCAGCTAATAGAAGAGGCATAGGTAGGAGAATTACAGCCCAGTGCTTGTCCAGAGCAGAAACCTGAGATGCTACCCCCCAAAATTACTGATTACTGCCACTGTGGCTCAAGTGGTAGACTGCTTGCTTAGTAAGCATGAGGCCCTGACTTCAAATCCCAGTATTACCAAAAGGAGACATGTGTTTGTAAACATGTATAGCAAACAGGTATGATTTTATAAGATTAACAAACATAAATTACATTTTCTATGTGGACAAATTCTTCAGGCTATAGAGCAAAAAGTATGATGGAGTTAAAATGAGTTAAAATTAAGAATGCCCTTATTTTAAAAGATTATTCTCTTCATTATTTAAAACAGTGTGAATAGTTCAGTATAGTATTCCCTTCTCCTAGAAAACTAACTGCAAAATAAATATTGAGCAGCAGTTTTTTTTTTAGTAAAAGGATAGATCGATAATTAATGTAGGTTTAGTACTAAAGGTTTAACCTATATTGTGTTTAGTTGTTAGGTTAGAGATATTTTTCCTTTTCTTAGATTCATGAATTTCAAGCATTATTATTTCAGAAAGATTTTTATTTTATTTCTCTTTCTTGTAGTTATAGATTTATGGTAATGGAAAGACTAGGAATAGATTTACAGAAGATCTCAGACCAAAATGGACCTTTCAAAAAGGAAACTGTCCTTCAACTTGGTATTCGGATGGTAAGAAGACATGAATTATTTTACATACTCTGTTTTCAGATTATTTACTTGTCAAAATGTACAAGTCTTTATTCCCAGAAATTGAAGGATTATTGGCCTAGAAATGCTGGCTCTTGAAAGTAGAGGCTGTTTTGGTGCTGTGATAACAGTGGCTATGTCAAACTCCAAGTATGCTTTGTTGGAGGCTGCAGATTCATTCAGACTTTGTTTTTATAGTCTGATTTGTTTCACATATCTGAACATGCTTGCATAGCTACAAGAATACCCTTTCTTTGTTAGTTATATTTATAACAATGCAAATTATGGTCAAGTATTATTATTTTCCATAACAAACATGTGATGATTTGGCTGCAAAGGTTTTAGTATGATCTGAGGATGATACCAATAATTAGTTGGGACAATGAATAAGTACATTTTTCTAAATAAAAAGCAATGAAAGCATAATAGCATCCTTGCATACTTTTATTTATATACCAAATATTTGCATTATCCTTTCTGTATTTGGTTTTCTTACCTCTCAGTTTATACCTTTTGAAGTAAGGTAAAACTACTCCTGACAGGTTGTGATGTGGCAAATAGAGCTCATTGATTTTCGTATTCATTCATCTACCTTACCAGGAAAGGTTTCTTGAGCACTAGGTTTGCAAGGCCAAAATAATTTAAAGGTGAAACTTACGAGTTTTCCATTACTTTACAGAAGAAACATACTTGGTGTTTTGTTTTGAGGTCTCTGATAAAGAAATTCTCAGCAGGTTTCATGGTTAGTTTGCTGTGTATCTCTCATTTTTGTTGTGTCTTTTTCTTCTTTATGCACTGTGGTTTGACCACTGGGTTGCCAGGAACATAAGCATAAGAATTGTTGAATCTTGATTTCCTTAAATCAGAGGTTCAGTAAAACACTTGATATTTGTGGGTCGTTTTTTTTTTCTCTTTCATCTTGCTTTTTTTTTAATTGTGAAAATACCGTACAGAGGGGTTTGTGGGTCGTTTTATTTAACTTTTTTTCTAAGATGATCAACCAGAAATGATGACATTTTGGAATAATTAACCAGTAATTTTGAAAGCATATCTTTTTGTCAGTGTTAATATGAAAACAACCCCATGTGATTCTATATTAAATATGTTTAAATTGATTGGAAATTCTAAATAGAAGTATAACTTACATTATTTTCTTTTCACAGCTGGACATATTGGAATATATACATGAAAACGAGTATGTTCATGGTGACATAAAAGCAGCAAATCTACTTTTGGGTTATGAAAATCCAGATCGGGTAAGTACAGTGTTAAAACTTTTGCTTTCAGTAAGAGTCTTCAAAGTACTATATTGAAACATTGTAAAGCAAACTAGTAACCCAGAGGAGTTTACAAATGAGGGCTTAACATGATGAATGTTTTAATTTATTTTACCTTGCTTATTTAATTTAATCCTTGCACCAAACTAATGAGTAATTAGGATGAGGAAACAGAGTCGGAGGGGTTAAGTCATTTGTTAATGGGCACATATGTAAGAAGTGGCTGAACAGGAATCTGAATTTCTGAGCAAATGCAGATAAAGAACTGTCAAAATCCACTGAGAAGTGATAAATGTCTGTGGAAGAAATAAACAGCAAAGTTGTCACATCAGCTCTGCTTCTCCTGTATAGCCAGTTAAGTTTTAAACAGAGAGCTTGCATGATGATGGGAATGTGATTGTCCAGTGTAATGACCATTGACACGTGGCTGTAAGAACTTGAAACATGGCTGAGTACCATAGAAGTGTGTGGCCTAACTGGCTCTCTCACTCATTAGTAGTGGGAATGCAAAATGGGAGGGTTTTTGTTGTTGTTGTTGTTTATTTTGTAGAACTGGGATTAAACCTAGTGCCTTGTACCTGTTATAGAAGTGCTCTGCCACTTGAGTCTTGTCTCCAACCTGCTTGTTTGGTTTACTTTTGAGATGGGGTCTTAAGACAGCCTTAAACTGAGATCCTCTTTTTTTTTTTGTCACTTGTGGGACTTGAACTAGGGTCTGGGCACTATCCCTGAGCCTCTTTGTGCTCAAGGCTAGCTCTCTACCATTTGAGCCACAACCACCACTTTGGTTGTTTTTATTGTTGTTGTTGTTGGTCATGGGGCTTGAACTCTGGACCTGAGCACTGTCCCTCAGCTTTTCAGCTCAAGGCTAGCACTCTACCACTTAAGCCACATCGCCACTTCCAGTTTTCTGAGTCATTTACTGGAGATAAGAGTCTCACGGATTTTTCTGCCTGGGCTGACTTTGAACCAGGATCCTCAGATCTCAGCCTCCTGAGTAGCTAGAATTATAGGCATGACCATGGGTGAGCCACCAGTGCCCAGGCTACCACTTTGGTTTTTGATTAATTGGATATAAGAGTCCGCCTGGGCTGGCTTTGAACTGTGATACTCAGGACTTTCTACTTTTGCAAAGCTTTTTTTGCTCTACCACTTAAGCCATACTTCCACCTTGCTTAATTTTTAGAGATAGGTTCCTGCAAACTTGTACCTGAATTGGCCTTAAACCATAACGTTTCCATCTATGGATCTTGGGTAGCTGAGATTATTGGCAAGGTACCACCATGTGTAAACAATTTCTGTGAATTTTAAGGAGGTTAAAAGACTCAGCATGTCATCCAATGATTATGCATCTTTCGTGTTTACCTAAATGAGCTATAAACACATCTACACAAAAACCCCCACATACAGA